GGGGAGGAGGCAGGACCTCTCTGCAGTCCAGAAGGGGGCAGTTTTGGAGAGCACAGAGGTCTGTTTGGAGGTTAGGATGAGCTGCAAGAAGTGACCAGGAGGAAAGCCAGGAGCCCTGGGCTAGAGAGGCGGTGGGCGACTGAGAGGAAAGAACTACTCTATGGGGTATTTGTGGCCAGGGTGCTCAGAGGCCCTGGGCTACGGGACAAAAGCAGGAGGAAGCCTGGGTGAACCGCTCAGATCTGGACTTTAGGTCACACTGCATCCACTCTGGCCATTTCCGGTCAAATGGAATTTGGCCTTTCCCTTGATGTCTGATCTAACCAGCCCCAGATGCAATGCTGAGCTCATCAGGGGAGGCAGAGGGCAGAGGCTGCCATCCTGATTAAGGGCGTTTGCAGGGGGAATTTTGAGCTCTTGGCTGACCCAGGCCAGACAGGACAGATGCTGGCCTGGATCAAGGAAGCCCTCTCCCCTATCCTCCTGCCAAAGTCTGGGGGTTACAAAGAAGGGTGTGGGTGGGGGGGATGAGCAGTGGAGAGAGGAGGCTCAGGGGATGGTCCAGGGGCCTTTCAGGGAAGAAGGGTTACAAATTCCACTCCAGACCTGGGCCCAGGCGTGCTCTCCCACAAACCTTCCCTGACAGTCTCACCAGCTATAGCCATGAGTGTAGTGGGGGTACTGTGTCCTGAGTAGGAGTGGCTTCCTGTATCTCATGGCCTGTGGGGAGTCAACTAGGGAGGGAGCAGCTGTGCTGGCAGGACACCAGGCCCAATGTCCAGGTTTTGGAGAACCAGGCAGCCTTAGCCCCCCCCCCCCCCCCCCCCCCACTGGCTGGCTGGACTAAACCCAGCCCTTCCTTCACTAGGGACACCTACCAGGGCTCCACCCCCTGCCCAGCTACTCACCGTTCCAGTCAGCAATTCATACAGTAGAGACCCAAAGCTCCACCAGTCACAGGCTTCGGTCAGCTCAGAAATCCCACCCACCTCTGTGGGAGCAAGAACACACATGTCCCAAGCTTACCCAGGAGGGCGAGTGTCCCCTCTACCCATCTTACCCAGACACGGCCCATCCCCTCAGCTCCCAGCACAATCCACACAAAGGCATCCAAGGTCTGGCCCCCAGCACTCCCTCCCTTCTTGCCTGGGGCACTGTAGAGGTTGTCCAAAGCCTCCGTGCAGCACTGGGGTTCCACCTCTGACCACTGGCCAAAATACGTGAGCCGGATGTGACCTTCTCATCCAGTGTGTGCAGGGGGAATTAAGGGGGAGGGACAAAAATTTCAGTTAGTCATTGTTGAGCAGCTGGTGTGGGGGAGGGGACTCTAGGGCTTCCCCTAACAGTCACAAAGCAGGAGCCGATGGCCTCGCTGGCCATGGCCTCCTTAAGGGCATGGCCCCCTAAGGCCGGAGACAACTGGGTATTTGTAGGTCTTGCTGCCAGGGGCTCATGGTGGGAAAGGGGCTCAACCTTGGTGGCTCAGCAGAGCACTGCATGGAAAGGCTGGGAAGAGGCAGGGGAAGAAGCAGAAAACCTCTGCCGTCCCCTTGACTTCGGGGAACTCTACTTCTCTGTCTTGAGGCTTTGGGAGGCCCCACCCACTCCTCTCCCCCACCCACTCCCCTCCCCCCTCGCCCAGGCACCTACCTGTCTGGTCCAGGAGAAGGTTCCGGGGATTGAGATCCCGGCACAGCACCCCCTGCTCGTGCAGTGCCTCCAGGGCCAGCAGCGTCTCGGCCGCCCACTGCTTCACCTGCTCTTCCCTCACACGCCAGGAAGACCCTAGGCTGGCCTCATCCACGGAGGGGCGGCTCTGTCCTCTACCACAGCCACAGCCCCCCAGCACCCGGCTGGCCCCCTCGTGAACCCAAGGGAGCCCTGAAGGGGACCCTGTGTCCAAGTTCTGGCCAGGTCTTCGCCTGGATTGGAGGTGCAGGAGGCCACCAGGGGCCTTTGGGAGGTCCGAGGAGCAGGAAGTGCTGGTCCTGGTTGAGGGTTCACCTTCAGACTCTCTCTGGGGTCTGGTGGATGGGGCCTCCCTGGCTGGAAGGAGGCTCCGATGAGTCTGTGGACCCTCCAAAGGGACTCTGTCCTGCAGGTGGGTATGGCCTGGGGGCCGCCGTGTTGAGGTCCAGAGGCTGAGGCGGGAGTTGAGCTGAGCCTTCATTCTTTCCAGGCTGGAACCAGACCTGAGCCCAGACTGCTGAGGGTGGGCCTGGGAGAGCAGGTGGGACCAGAGAGTGCCTCCTGGGCCGTGCAGGGGCGGCAGCGAGCGTGGGGGCGGGGAGAAGGAGAGTGTGGACAACTTGTCTCTGTCCCACTCCCGCCTCCCCTCTGCCTTGGACATGGACCCTCTGCCTTCCAGACTCTCACCTCTGTTCCCCCCCTTCCTTAACCTTAGCCTAGAATGACCTCTCCTGTCCTCTCCTGTCCCTCACCTAACGAGGACCCGGCCTCCCCAATCTGGCACAAAAAGGCGCTTAACCCCTAAGGAAGTGTAAATTATTGTTAACGTCCTTGGTTTGTGTGGTGGCTTCGCCAGTGTTCGATATATTTTATACATATATTAAAAAAATTTTTAGGGAGAATAGTATAATAAAATTTAAGTAAGTAAAATAAAAGAAGGCTAGGCATGGACCTGTGATGACTATATGTCATGACCAAAGATGTGTGCCTCATTAAAAAAACTCATCACTGTAATAAGTGATCAATAAATATCTGCTACGTGACCCAGTCCCTGTCTTTACAGCTTCAGTACCACCATCCCATGTGGCCACTCTAAGGGATGGGCACAGACTAGAAAAATGAAAAGAGCCAAGACAGGAGGAAACGGTGACAAAGGGGCACAAATGCCCTTTCACCAGCCCAGGATGTGAACGTCCTCCCCAGGATGTCACCTGCCCCCTTAGCACCACACAGAGGCTCACAACAGCCTGATTCTGCCATCATCCCCCAGAAAGGCTGGGTCCCCTGGTCTGTGCTGCACATCTGGTGCAAGTCACCCCCCTCCCCAGAGCTTGGCATTTTGAGGGGATGAAAGAGGACAACGTCCCGAAGGCCCTAAGAGCCGACAGGGGCCCTTCAGGCCCCCTCACCTTGCACGTGCTCCAGGTGCAGGAAGATGGAGTCCTCACTCATGAAGTACCGCAGCAGCTTGGTCATATAGGGGACACCATGTGGGATGATGGTCAGCCGCTCCCGGCTTGCCATGTGGCACCTGGACAGGCTCTGGGGAGCGGGCAGGGCAGGCAGGTCAGCTGGAGACAGGCCAGATGCTGCCCTGTCAGGGGACGTCAGAGCCCCAGCTTCAGGGGCAATGGGACGAGGGGTGGGAGACACTCTGAGGAGCAACTGCCTCTCCCCAGTTCCTAACTTGCCCCTCACCCCTATCTACACCAAAGAATCCAGGTCCTCCACCCTCCAAGCCAAGGAGGAGGCTGTATGTGTGTGGATGGGTGGGGGGCGTGCTCAGGGGCAGGACAAGCGGCTTTTGGATTTGGGGAGAGCATGGGCTTCAGATATAGGTTCTGGGTAGGGGGTTCCCCAGAGTAGGGGTTCCCAAGCACTCTGAGAAGGTCCCAAGGGGAATACAGGTTAGGGGGCTGGGCAGCACCTGCCTTCACCACGAAGGTCCCTCCAGTCGCTGGGTCCTGGACCAGCTGCACCTGCCAAGGTCCAGGAGGCACTGGTCAAGGCACATGCTTGTTCCCAGGGCTCCATGGCCCTAGCCCCAGCCCCCAGGTTCCTCCACTGAGGCTGATTCGCTCCAGGGGCAGGGAAGGGAGGGCAGGCTTTGGTGGTGCAGAGTATGTGCCCCCACCCCCATCCCCCCCAAAACTGAGATTGATCCTGTTCTGCTCATCCACCCTTCTTAGACCAATAGGTCTTAGCTCAGGTGCCACCTCCTCCAGGAAGCCTTCCCAACCCTCGGATTCGGCTGGGGCCCCTAATCTGTCTCTAGTGCTCTCCAGGCTCACTCTTAGGGGAGCCTTATTGCACTGTGTCTGATTTCCTGCAACCCCACTTTATTGTGAGCTCCGGGGCAGGAACCACACCTTCTAGCTCTGTGTTCCCAGAGCCCCTGCACAGTGCAGGGGTATTATAGGTGCTTCACACATGGGTGGTGAGTGGTCCATCCTGCAGGGTCTGAGGGTGTCACGGATGGAAGCGACCTCAGAGCCAGTTACCTCCTCTGATCTTTTATTTTACAGGTGAAGCTGAGAGTGTGGCCCTAGGTCACTCACGGGCCGAGCCGTGCCCAGAGCACTGGGCTTGGAGTGCTCCTTCAGGTCTCACCCCTGCCACCCACCCCTTCTTTTAAATCATCTCTCTCTCCGGAGTCTGTCTTTGGAGGGCAGCCCGCTCCTTCTCCTGTTGGTTTTGGGTAGAGGCAGCGGTCTGCCAATCGCTGGGACAGGCCCTTGACTCATGTCGTGGTAAGCAGGGGTGGACTCCAGCCACAGGAGAGGGCACAGATGAAGTAGAAAACTTGGCCCAAATGAGGGACATGTGGGGGCAGGACCAGCACATCGGTGTTGTGACTTCTTGGCAATTGGCCTGCTATGCAGACCCTCCCCTAATGCCAGGGAACTAGGCAGTGGTGAAGGCTGCAGCCTGGCATTGGGACTGGGTTTAGATCTTGGGCGAGTGAATTGATTTTGTCATCTACAAACAGCAACTTCAAATGCCCCCCTTCCCTCATCACTGGTTTGTTGAGGCCATAAGTGGGAGGGCCCTTTGTGAATGGAAAGGCCATGAGAATGCCAATGATCACATTTGCCAAATCACATCACCTCTCTGAACCTTGTTCTTTTTAACTGCAAAACGGGGCCATTGCAGTACCTGCTTCAGAAGCTCATCAGAAGGATTCCATTAAAGCAGTGAGCTCAAGTAGAGCAGCAGCCTGTGCCCGCCACATAACATGGCCTCTATAATCTGCAGTGGTCATTATTATTGAGAAACCTCACACTAGCTAGGAAGCACTTTTACTCTGTGTTCAGCACTTTGCATAGATTACTTTATTCCCACAGCCCTACCAGGTGAGTGTTACTAGTGACCCATTTTATTGACGAAGAAATTGAGGTTCAGAGAGGTTATGTTACCTACAGTCCCACTGCTAAATGGTGGTAGAGCCAGGATTTGAATCCAGGCTAGGTGATGCCAGAGCCCTGGAGACTTAACTGCAGTTGGGGCAAAACCAGATGACCTTGGCACATGCCTTTCCTTCTGGGCCTCAGTGTCCCCAGCCATCAGTAAAATGAAGGCAGTGGACTGGCTGAGCACCAGGGCCCTTCTTCCAGGAGCGAGGCACTCTTCTGACCACCAGAGGTCTCTCCTCCAACAGTCAGAGACCGAACCCAGCCTGGCCAAATCCATACAATGTTTGAGAAAGAAAACTCAGGGGTCATTTAGGAGAACAGTTTCCCACAAGTACTGACACCCAGATAATTCCCCACTGACCCTTGCCAAGTGGGATTCCCTACCACCTCGTCCTGGGCAAGGCTCTCTCATTTACAGAGCCCAAAAACAGCAATGAAGGTTGGGGAAGCCAGAAAATAAAAGTTAATTCGTATATTCAAATTTCAGTATATTGAAACAAGTGTATTAAATATACATATATATTATATAATATATATTATATTATCATATACATATATATAATACACACACACACACACACACACACACACACACACACACACACACAAAGGGTGCCCAAAAAATGTATACACATTTTAAGAGATGTTATCTATGCTCAAACAGTAGTTCGCCATAATCAGAAGTGTCTGGACGCTAACAGTAACCACTTTGAGCACCTCTTGTAACTGTAGAAGGCAAACGTGACTATATATTGAGTGTTACAATTTTAATACAGTTTTTTCCTTTCTTAAAATGTGTATACATATATATTTAAACCTACTGATACCTGAAACTAATAAAATAAAATAAATAAACAAACCCTACCGAGCTGGAAAGAATGAAACCAAAACATTAATGGTGATTATCTTGGTGCTAGGTAGGATAGGGAATTTTTTTTTTGTTTTAAACTCTTTTTCATTACATCTCAAAAGGGTAGCAGAGGGGGACATTTTCCTATTAAACCAAGCAAATAAAAAATCCCCTTCCTCTTTTGCTCATTATTATGGGGGACAGAGCATTAGCTGTTTACGTGACCTCTATGAACCTCAGTTTCATTCTCTGTAAGGCAATTATTAAAATGCAGCACTGTCCAACAGAACTTTCTCCGTGAAGGAAATACATATCCACACTGTTCCAATGTGGAAGCCATTGGCCATATGTGGCTATCGAGCCCTTGAAATGTGGCTGGTGTGACTGAGAAACATAATACTTAATTTTAATTTGAATAGTCCTAGGTGGCTAAGTGACTACAGTATTGGATTGTACAGTATCATGCTTTTCCCCCCAGGGCGACTGAGGAGGTTTAATGCAACAGCTTTGCAACAAAAATGTGCCTTACGAATGTCAGGTATTGCACTGCAGTGGTAGAAGGCAGTTCTGGGTGCCTGCTCTCACCTTTTTAAAAAGAGATTTTTTTTTTTTAAAGAAACCCACAGAGTTCTCAGAATGTAGGGACAATGAAAGCTTTGTGAAACACATTAACCCTTTCTGTAAAAATGCCCAACGTATCATAATCCCAGGAGGAATCTCTCATGGAGCAAACAAGTCCAAAAGTTTCAACGAGTTTGTAAACGCCCAGGTCCACAGGGGCCAGGCACGTGAGCCAAGGGGGCAGGGTGTGCACAGGAACAAGCTGGAGGGCTGTGCCCACTACAGTGGGCAGCCCCTCCTCCGCTCCCTGCTGCAGGGATGTGAGCCAGCTTTTCCAGATCTTTCAGTTTTTCAGGAGAAGCAGGAAATCTGGACTTGTATACGAAACCTGCCAACTTTTAAATGTTGGTAACTAGTAATAATAAAACAGCCCTGTGCTTGAGCCAAAAAAGCCAAAAGGGACTTGGATGACCTTCTTTTTCTTCCCCATCCCTGACTCAGAGCCTGGCTCCTAGACGAAGCTCCCAGGCCCCCAATGCTCCCTGGGAGCAGACCCCTGGGTATTCTGGCAAACTGTCTACCTAGTCCCTGACCCACCCGCCTCGCTGTTCCCTGCCACTCCCTACGCCTGCCAGTTTCTTCTCGGCCCCTAGAGACCCCACTCTTGACAGCTAGGCATCTCTGGGGTCGGTCACTCAAGGCTCCCTGAGCCAGCCCTGTGCTCCTGCCTGGCTCTGTGCTGCGGCTTCGGGCACTGCCCCGCTGCCTGAATCTGCCTGGGCAGAACTGTGGAATGGGACACTGTGACAACATATCCACGCCTGGCTGCAGGGACCTGGGCCCTAACACCTCTCCTAATTTGGGGAAATTTGTGTTCCTGGCTTGGGAATGATTCAGGAAAAGGAAGCAGGAGCTCAGGAGGTGGGGTAGGTAAGTCGAGTGCCCAAGAAAGGGTAAAAAAGGAGAGAAGGGGAATCTCAGCCAGAACGGTTGGGCTTGGCCCGAATTTGGGCCCTCCCTGTGCACAGGCCTCAGAACACTGGATGCTGAAAATGCTTTGCATATGCATATCCTAGAGTTAAACAAATTAGGGGAATTCTGTCACAGACTTCACTCTTGGAAACTCAGGGTGTACATTTCATCCTAAAAGCTCCGAAAACTCCTATAATTTAAAAAAAAAAAAAAAGGTAACTTTAACTCACTATTTCCCAAGCTTATTTGACCCTCTCTCCACAATGCTTATGGTTCAGTGGGATCCCATGTAGGGAAATGGTGGTGGTGGTCACCTCCCCAGCCTGTCCAAGCTACATGGAGTAGTGCAGTGGGAAGGCAGGACTGCACAGATGGAAGCTGGCTGGGCCTTGCTGACAGGCTGGGATGGTTACAGGGTCCTGGGAATAGCAGCTGGAGAAGGCTGGGGGGATGGGAAGCCTGCACGCTTCCTGACTCGTCTTTGTCACTAGCATGCAGAGCCATCAAACACGCATTAAATATTTTATCATGTGCCAGGCCTTTCCCAAAAATTATTTCATTTTCGTTCCCACATCACCCCGTGGGAAGAAGACTCTCACCCCTCTTATGGTTGAGGAAACCAATGCTCAGAGAGATGAAGGGACTTGCCCGTGGCCACGCTGTGCCCATAGCACTTCATCCTCTGGCACGGAGCGAAGGAAGCACACACTGGCCTCCTTTTCTCCGTGGCCTCCAGACCCATCAAAATCCCCTGATGACTGTTTGAATTAGAGATCACTGGGCTCAACTCTAGAAATTCTGACTCAACAGGCCTGGAGGGGGGCCCAGGCGCTTGTATTTTTAGGAAGCTCCCCCAGGTAATTCTGATAAACAGCCAGTTTGAGAAAGAACTGCTTTTGTGGCTAGTCTGGTATCCCTTGGTTGGGGCAGAGGGCAATCGAATATTGGCTCAAATCTCATTTTACCCAACTGTTAGTCCTCCTGATTCTCCCACCTGTCCCAGGTGCAGGTTGTGGTGTCCGTTCCTATCTTCCTTTCTGTCCTGAGTTAAGGAAAAGGGTCTCAGGTGGGGTCAGGATGAGGGTGGGGGCGCCAGGAGAGGAAGGGCAGAGTTTCCAAGACCCCAGACGATGCTCTGGCTAGCTTGGACCCTCTGCAGGGCAGGTTTCTGGAGAGAAGCATATTCCCGCCACAAGAACTTCTTGGCTGTGCTTAGTGGGGAGACTCTTGGCTGCGGCCCCGGGGTGGGGGCCTGTGCGAAGTGGGAAGTGGGAGTGAGCCAGGCAGTGTGTGTTGGCAGGATGCCCTGGACTGAGCTTCTCCTGTGGCTTCTGTCTTGCATCTCTGAGGGAGTGAACTGCTGTGTCTGAGCTGGAGGGCTGTGGAGAGGGGCTGTCTGCCTCTTTCATCCCAGTTTCCTTTCCGGGACCTGACTGGTGTGTGCTGGGGTGAGGAGGGGTGGGGAACCATTGGGCACAGCTGTTCTCCTCTCCTGGACATCTCACCCCTTTCCGGCCTCCTCTGGAGGACTAGGGTTAGCTACTCTCTCTCCCCACCCGCCACCCCCAATTGCACACACTGTCTCCTTTCACACTGCAAGCTCTGCTCACTCACCTTCTCGATGACCCCGACCACCCTGCAGCCCCTCAGCTGCTCCAGGGCAGAGCTCAGTGTGCGGATGGGCCGGAGCCTCAGGCTACTGAAACCCTGCAAAGGTGGGACACAGGCCATGCAGCCTTAGTGCCCAGCCCTCCTCAGTCACTGCTTCTCACCAGGCAGAGGGCAGGGCCTCTGACTGACAGGTGAGCAGTGGCCGCAGCCAGCAAGAATGGGGTATGGGCCGACCCCACCTCCCAAGGACACGCTAAGCAGAGAAGCTGGCCCGGTCTGGCAGGGGGCCCAGATGGTCCAGGCTGGCTACGCGGCCCTCTTCACTCAACTCTCCCCACATCCCCACCCTCCTCCAAGGCTCAAGGGGGCTTCAGAAACCCACTTTTGAAAGCCCCATCCACAGGAGGCAGATGCTTCCAGGGATGGGAAAATAAGTTGGGAACATGTGGGTCTCAGGGAACATGCCTTGAAGACCAAGGCATGTGGCCCAGGCACCTGCTTTGGGGGAAAGCAGTCTTACAAGATGCAGGGAGCCCAGGAAGGGTGTTGTGTGTCTGTGTCTGTACATGCCTGTGGGCGTGAGAAGTGTGCATGCATTTCCAGCCCCTCTGAGAGCCCTGGGTTAGGAAAAGCCATATGGGGATGGGAAAATAAGTTGGGAACATGTGGGTCTCAGGGAACATGCCTTGAAGACCAAGGCATGTGGCCCAGGCACCTGCTTTGGGGGAAAGCAGTCTTACAAGATGCAGGGAGCCCAGGAAGGGTGTTGTGTGTCTGTGTCTGTACATGCCTGTGGGCGTGAGAAGTGTGCATGCATTTCCAGCCCCTCTGAGAGCCCTGGGTTAGGAAAAGCCATATGGGGATGGCATTGGTGCACATCTATGTATGCATGTGTGTGTGTGTGCGTGTGTGTGTGTGTGTGCGTGTGTGTGTGCCCACGTGGGCATTTGTGTCCGCTCCAAATGCTCAAGGCAGCCTAGTCAAACATCCACAGATCTGGGGGCCTTGGAGTATGTACATACACGAGCATGTGTGTGAGCCGTGTGTGAAGATGGGGGGATGTACGCGTGTACTCCGTGAGGGCGTGAGACTGGACTGGAAATGATTCACCAAGTGTTTGAAAATGCATGAAGTATGGAGGGTGTAGGAGAGATTGGAAGCCAGAACGAGGACAGGAGGAGGGGCAGCCCTGGCACACACCACCACCCGCCCTGTCCTGTAGTCCAGGCTTCAGCTCTTTCCACTCAGAGCCCTCAGGCCCCTGGGGAGGGATCTCCTCACAGTGCCAGGGCTGGCTCCGCTGCCCAGTGTCCTCTGCAGGTGGCAGTTGAAGATCTCCTCTGCCCGCCGCAGGTACTTAGTAATTTTCAGCTTTACAGCCTCACATCGCTCCTTGTTGGGGTCGACTGTGGGGGGAAAGGGGTCACCAGGACTCATCCCTGCCTCCCCCCCGGCCCAGGCCTTGGAGGGCTGGGGTCCCAGCTCCCGCTGCCGGCCCGCTTCTCTCCACAGGACGGAGCGCCTCTGTATGAGGCTGGTCAGCAGATCCCGGCCCCACACCTGTCAGACCCTCCTCTGGGTGGGATACCAGCAAGGAAGGGGAAGGAAGATGGCAGGAGAGGCTGGGAACCGTGGTCACCCTCAGCCCACAGCACTTTACAGTTGGCACCCACCGCCTCACTGGCCATCATACCCTGGGAAGAGATAGAGTGGGGATTTCCATATCCATTTTCAGAGGAGGAGGCAGAAGCTCCCAGAGGATACAGCTTCCTCCATCTCTGATGCCCAGTGCGAAAAAGGCCAGAGCAGGGATCAGGATTGGAGGACAAAGGAATTCACTGGACAAGCCTGCAGCCTAGGCATTGAGGTGTCTCATCAGCAGGAGGACAGGCAGCAGGAGGGTAGGGCTTGACTCTGACCACTAGCCTGGCCACCAAGGCCCTCAAGGGTCTCAAACTGGCCTCAAGGCCACGCCCTCGCCCAGCTGGAAAATGCCTCCCTTTGCCCTACACAGGCCTCCCCTCTCACCTCCGGGCCTTCACTGTTCTCTCTCTGGAGCACTACCCAGCCCTTCAGCTGGACAATGTGCCTGCTGTGCTTCAGTGCTCAGATTAGACTTTGGACTTCTAAAAAATACCCTATGCCGGCCTAGTGTGGACTCAGTTTCCCTCCCTTCACTTCCTCCTTATTGCTCTTCACACCCGGGACTACAATTGTCCATCATCAACTCATCAGCCTCCCCCCATTATAATGCAAGCTTCCAGAGGGCAGGAGCCCCTTCCAGCTCCAAGGCCAGGCCAGAACAGTGGGTCAAGCACAACTGCCTCTGGAGCCCAAACTGTTCAAACCCCAGCTTTGCGACTTGATAGCTATGGAACCTTAAGCAAGCTAATTAACTGCTGTATGCCTCAGTTTCCTCATCTGGAAAATAGGAATGAAAATAGTTCCTATATACTTGGAACTACATGCAACAACATACATCATATCTTCCATTCCTGTGAGGCTCAAATGAGTTAATACAGGTAAAGCCCTTAGACCTGTGCCTGGCATAGAGGTATTGCTCAGTCACTGCTAGTTATTATTATTGTCTTTCATGGAGGCCCTAGAGGGCCAGCAGAGAGCCCTGTTCACCCAGCACAGATGGACAGAGGGCAGGAGGAGCCCTGAGTCAGCCCCAGTCCCTGCCCGGCGCAGCCCTCACCGTTGACGCCTCGCAGCAGAACATCCACGCCATTCTGGTAGTGGTTGAAGGCTGCCTCGTAGTCTTCACTGACATCGCGCTCCAGGGCCAGCCGGATCTGCGTGGCTGCATCCACCAGGTAGTCACGCTTACTCATGTCAGGTGCCCCGGGAGCCACCCGGTTGCGAATCTGCTCCAGGTACATGCGAGCCTGGGACCGTGCTCTTGAGCAGGGCTCAGGCTCCTGGCCAGGGCTGGGCGGGCACTCGCAGGCCACCAGGCTCATGGCTGCTGGTCTACGGCTGCAACCTGGAATGAACAGGTGCATTAAGGAGGACCCAGCTGGGAACACCACCGCACCTGCACCCTGGTTTCCTCCACTGAATATTCAGAGATCAACACTCACAGCCAAGGGCTGGAGGGATCAGAGCTAACGGGAATGAAGTCCCTTCACTGGGCCAGATCTTTCCTAAGTGGCGGTAATATTGTAGAATAACAACACCCTTGGGGCTCCTCCTTTCGATTCAAATTCAGTTCAAGTATTCCTTGAGCACCTGGCTACGTGTTGAGCACTGGAAAGAACTGAAGATATTCATGATCCAGAGCTGCCTTCACGGGGCCTTAGAGTAAACCGGTGTCTAGTACACAGCAAACAAATGGAGGCCACACACTCTGAGGCCGAGGCAGGGGCCCTGGACTCAAAGGCCATTCCTCACACTGTTCTCTCCATCCTGCCTGTTCTCCCCACCTCCCTGCTTCTCTTACAGGAATCTCATTTATCCTTCAGGATTCAGCTCCAAACAGAATGGATGGCCCCTGCCGTTTCCCTCAGTGCTGAGGTCAGTGTGGTCAGGAGTGAGGACCCCCCCACACACACACAGAGCCTAGCAGAGATCTGGGCACAAGGCCAGGCCTCAAAGCCTGTGGGCAAATGAGATAACTGAGTGGCAGGTTCTGGGTGGAGTTAGAGGAGGGAGCACAGGGCCTAACCAGTCCTAGGAAGGGGCTCCATCTCTGAGAAGGCCAGGAGGCCCCATGGCCTCCAAGGACCTGCCAGCAGCTCGGCCCTGAACAGTGTGTGACACAAGTGGCTAAAGGGATAGAGAAGTGGCTGCAGGAAAGGAAAGGGCTCAAAGAGAAACCGGCACAGCTGCCTCTGCCCCTCACTGCAAGGGCCATCTTTGCCCTTTCAGGCCCCTTCGGAAGGGACAGGACCCAAGCTTCCAACCCCAGGTCATTTCTGCCTCTGTGGAGAAAGAGAGGAGAGAAGAAGATGGGGAGTGGGGCGGGAAGGGACACACACATCCCAGGGCCATCAGGGCGCTGTGTACCCTGGCCAGAATGCGGCCAGGAGGGCGGGACTCGGCCCAGCCACGCGGACATGCAGCCCCGAGGTCTGTGTTGGGGGTGCCAAGTCCAAAGGGCTGGGCTGCTGGAGTCTGGCCCTGGCTTCCAGGGGCCTCCCCGCCGGGCTGGGTCCTGCGGGGCAGAGCCGCATGGCCACGCCTGGACACGGAAAGCGGGGCGTTCAGCCCACGAGTCCCAGGCACGCAAGGGGCAACCCCCTGTGGGGGTCGGGTCGAGGAAAGCGGGATGGCGGAGTGAGAGGAAGGTACAGCCTTGCCTGGGGGGAGGAGGATGGTGAGGGGTCGGGAAAACATCATCGTACCTGCCCGAGCCAGGAGCTCAGTCCACGCGGCCAGCCCTAATCCTGCAGACACCGCCCCTTCACTCCCGCGGGCAACCGTGCACCGGGGATCACGGCTTTGCGCCCACCAGCCAGGTACAAGGGTCTGGCCGGCGCAGCCTGGCCATTGGCTGCAGATGAGCTCATCTTCCATCCGTTAGAATAAACCACCAATCACCGCCCCGTTCGGCTTCTACCAGCCCTTAAAGCAGCCGCGTCTGCAGTGCAGAGCTTTGGGGGAGGGTCGCGGACTGGGGAAGGGGTTAGGGGTAGGAATGGGGGCAGGAGCAGAGGCTAGGGCCTTTATCTGCCTTGTTCGCTGATGTATACCAAGTGCCCAGAACAGCATCTGGCACACAGTATTGCTCAATAAATATTTGCTGAATGAATGAGTGTGCCCTGAAGAATAAGGAATTAACCAAGAAAAACGTTTGGGGAGGGTAGTGGAGAATAATGCTCTGGGCAGAGAAACAACATGTATAAATGCCTTAACAAATTAAGGGAGAAAAATAACATTTGTACATCAAACAGATGGCATAAAATCATTTGATAAAATTTAACACTCATTCATGATAAGGACAAACTCTTCATTTAACAAAATCTAAAACTCATGAACTTACTTCTTAACTTGATAAAGTGTTATCTACCAGAAGCTCAGGGCATATGTAATGGAACTTACACCATATGTGATGGTGGAGCCTTAGAAGCATTCCCACGGCCCTGTTGGCCTTCTGGCATATAATAGTATCTCACGTCTCTACCCCATTTGAAAGTTAGGTTTGGCCATTGAACTTGCTTTGAAATGCTAGTGGACAGAATGCGAGTTACTTCAGGGTGGAAGCTTCAAAAGCCAGTCCATCATTCAACTGCCCCTTCCTTCTGCCATAGTCGCCATAGAAGTACATGTCCATGGAAGCATAGAGATTCCATCAGCCTGCGTCTCTGAGAAAACAACAATAAGAAACTCCTCCCTGATCCATGACTTGTGTTGGACACGAAATGCATGTGAGAAATTACTTTTTTATTGTGTTAAGCCACTAGATTTTGGAATTGTTACTGCAGCAGACCTTGACCTGTCTTGAATGATATACCCAGTGCAATCAGCAATGAACCAATGCCTCTACTCTTCAACAATATACTGAAAGCTGCAATTCACACAATAAGGTGTTAAAAGGAACAAGAGGTTTAAAAATTGGAATGGAAGAGGCCAAATTGCCATTATTTGTGATGGTATGACCGTCCACCTGGAAAACCCCAAGCAATAATTGGTAAATCCAGCAAAGTGACTAGACACTAGATCGACATTTACAAATCAAGAGCTCTCCTCTATATCAGCAATAACAATTTGAAAATGTAGTAATTTGAAAAGCCCATTCACCATAGTAACAAAAACTATGACATACTTAGGAATAAACTAATTAGAAATATATGACCTTCATGGAGAAAACAATAAATTTGTATTAAAAAACCCAAATAAAAGGACAGATGTGTTGTGTTCTATAATGGGATGACCACCATTACAAAGATGTCAATTCTCCCCCAATTATTGGGTTGTCAGAAAAGTCATGATGTATGTTTTCTGTTTTTCATTGCAAAAATGCATCATGACTTTTCCAACAACCTAATAATTTAAAACTTCATTGCAATTCCAATCAAAATACCAAAAGGACTCTTCATAAAACTTGACGGGATGCTTCTAAAATTCTTGGTCATTCATGCACTTAAAATCTTATGGATGGCCTACTATGGGTCTGACCCTGTTCTAGGCAATGAGGTGAGTAACACAAACCAAAAAAAGCCTTAATGGAACTTCATTTTAATGGAGAAAACCAATAATAAACACTTAGACATACAGATCTTCTAGATATTTAATCAAGAAAACACTCAGATACATAAGGATATATGTGGATATTCATTGCAGTATTGCTTACAATATCAAAAAATTGGAAAAAATTCCAAATTCAATATTTTATGGAACATCAATATGACAATGCATAAATAAAATGTGAGATCTCCAAAACATATTCTTGAGTAAAAATAGTCAGTTCCCAAATGTTACCTACAATACGCCATTTATATTTATATTTTAAAAGTATATGTAGAAAACAATACTATATATTATCTATATATTATAGTATATTAGTCAAGTTTTTCCAGAGAAATGGAACCAGTAAGATGGATAGATGATAGATGGTTAGATAGATAGATAGATAGATAAATAGATAGATAGATACATTTCTTATTATAAGAAATTGACTCATGTAATTATGGAGTCTGAGAAGACCCACAATCTGAATAGTTCCAATCTGAGTCTGAAGGCCTGAAAGCCAAGAACACTAATGGTATACGAGGTAAGACAATTAACTTGCCACTGTGCACTTACATTGGCAGCACTGTACAAACAGCTCGGTAAGGTTTCATAACCTTGGTGTATCAGTGTCTCACAGCTGTGTTCGTGTCGATGTGTGGCAATGTCTTGCTAAGTGGTGTTCATTACTGTTGTGTGTTTTTGTGTGCTGTTGCAAGAATGTCTGAGTTTGAATTAGAGCAACGAACAAACATTAAATTTCTTGTTAAACTTGGCAAGAGTGGAAGTGCAATCAGGGACATGTTAGTCCAAGTTTATGGGGATAATGCCATGAGGAAAACAGCAGTGTACAAATGGATTAAACGTTTTTCTGAGGGGAGAGAACGTGTCACTGATGAAGAGAGGTCAGGGCAGCCAGTAATGAGCAGACCTGACAAAAACATTGCAAAAATTCATCGAATTGTGCGTCAAAATCTTTGGCTGACTATGAGAAGCATAGCAGACCAAGTAAACATCGATAAACAGTTAGGAAAATCTTAACTGAAAATCTTGGCATGAGAAAGGTGTGTGCAAAAATGGTCCCGAAGGAGCTCTTGCATCACGACAACGCACCAGCTCACACAGCACTGTCTGTGAGGGAGTTTTTAGCCAGTAAACAAATAACTGTATTGGAACACCTTCCCTACTTACCTGATATGACCCCCAATGACCTCTTTCTTTACCTGAAAAGAAAGGAAATCTTGAAAGGAAGACATTTTGATTGCATTCAGGACATCAAGGGTAATACAACGACAGCTCTGATGGCCATTCCAGAAAAAGAGTTCCTAAATCGCTTTGAAGGGTGGACTAGGTGCTGGCATCAGTGCGTAGCTTCCCAAGGGGAGTACTTTAAAGGTGACTGTAGTGATATTCAGCAATGAGGTATGTAACACTTTTTCTATGATGAGTTCTCAAACTTAATTGTCAAACTTCGTAAGTCCCAGGAGAAGATTAATGTCCCAGTTAAATCAGGAAGAGAGAGCAGATTCTCCCTTCCTGCACATTTTTGTTCTATTATAAGCCCTCAATGGATTAGATGATACCCACATTGGGGAGGGCGATCTGCTCTACTGAATAAATTCAAAATGCTAATGTCATCTGGAAACACTCTCACAAAATAACGTTTAACCAAATATCTGGGGACACCATGACCCAGTCAAGTTGACACATGACATTAACTATCGCATATAGTAATAGCTAACATACCATGAGCCTGGCACTATCCTCATCACTTAGCAGGGAACATCCTATGTCAATCTTACAACTACACTATTAGTTACTATTATTTTATTATTTTTTTGTAGAGGGCAGTGTCACTGGCCCTCATATGTGGGATCCGAACCGGGGCCCTCTGGTGTCCCAAGCCAGTTCTTAACCATCGCACCACTCAGCCGGCCCTATTAGTTACTATTATTAATCCTTACTTTACAGATGACAAAACTAAGGCAGATGAAGGTTAATGAACTTGTGTAAGCTTATACAGTTAAGAAGTGGGAGCACCAGGGATCAAACCCTGGCAGTTTGGCTCCAAACCCCAAGCCCTGGACCACTACGCTGATTCACACTGAGTTCCTAATAGTGGTGTTATTAAGGGAGTGAAGGCAGCGACCTGGACTTGGGAGAGGGAGCAGGCAGTGGTCAAATAAAGCTCTACAATACCTGTAATGTTCTATGTTTTTAAAGAACAAAATATGTTGGTATATTATTTATAATGTTATAATTAATTTTTAGAAAGTATATATTAAATTATATACATATGATGAGATAAGTATTTTTTTCAGGATATATTGACTTGTGCAATGAGGAAGTAAACAGTGTTTCACAAGCCTCTAATGGTGTACTAGACCCAGTTTGATGGGAAGGAGTGTTTGGGATTCTTTCCTGAGGAAGTGCCTTTGAGCTGAGTTATGGATGATGCATGTTTGTTAGTCAGCAAGGTTGAGAGGTTGGGTGTGGGAGTGGGGGAGAGATTTCCTGGCAGAGGAAACAGCATGAGCAAAGGTCCTGAGGGAGCACCACAGATTTCAGGCATTAAGAAAGGACAAGTGTGTTAGACCTTAAAGAAACAGGGAGCATGGCATGAGATGAGGCTGGAAAGGTGGGCAGAGGTCAGGCCTCATGGAGGCTCCCAGGCTGAGGAAAAAGCAGGGAGTTTGATTCTAAGAATAATGTGTGCTGCTGAGTAACACGAAAACTGGAAACGCTGATCGGCACCACGCAAATCCCTGGAATCACTTTTGCAGAGCTGTGTTATGGTAGTGAGTGGAACTGCCAAGAAAGAGACTGAAAGTGTAGACAGTTCTCAAAACGTGAATCTGGAGGTACCTGGAGGGAGACGGTGCAATTGAGGGATGGATTTGATTTTTGCTGCTGTTGTTACTTTTATGATGGGATAGGCTTCTACACACAAAGACATATCCACAAGGATGTTCATTGTAGCATTGTTTATTATAACAACATCAAAAAAGATAACCTAAATATCCAACAATAGGCCAATTAATCAAATTATGGGATAGCCAAATGATGCAATGCAAGTCAGTACTTAAAAAATCACTTTGAGGGCAGCCGGGGGCTCAGTTGGTTAGCGTGCACGCTCTGGGCAACAGGGTTGCCGGTTGGATTCCCACATGGACCAGTGAACTGCACTCTCTGCAACTAGGACAACAAATTGACTTGGAGCTGATGGGCCCTGAAAAAAACACATTGTTCCCCAAAGAAAACACATCGTTTCCCAATAATAAAAATTAAAAAAAAATCATATTGAAGAAGAATATCTAATGTCATGGGGAAATGT